CTGAAAATGTATCTATAGTTTTGTCTAAATTTACATGATAATTACAATCAAGTTATCACGTTCTTGAAATTGCATGTAAATTATTCTTCTATTTTTAGTATGTGAAAACTGTGTTTTATTGTGTATATTCAAAAAGTACATATATTATGATTAATAAATTGCCACTGAATTTTTAGACCCCTACGACTACTAGTTTTTATTTTATAGCAATTTGACTAAATCGACAATCCTCGCAATGGGGGAGCATTGACAAATTTTTCTGGTAAAAATCGAAGTTGCTCTGATTCGACTTATATTCAAAAAGTACATATATTATGACTTTAATAAATCGCCACTAAATTTTTAGACCCCTCCGACTACTAGTTTTTATTTTATATCAAACTGACAAAATCGACAATTCTCGCAATGGGGGGGGAGGGTCTGGCCATTGACAAATTTTTCGGGTAAAAATCGAAGTTGCTCTGATACGACTTATATTCAAAAAGAACATATATTATGACTTTGATAAATCGCCACTGAATTTTTAGATCCCTCCGACTAATAGTTTTTATTTTAATATATAAAACGTACACTGCATAAATGTAGATTGGTACGTAGGTTATCTACCCTTGGGTAATATACTTCTTCATTACATTATAATTTTCCAATTTAAAATATCATCGCAATTTTGTATCGAATACGTTCTATATTAACAAGTTATGGTTACTTGTTATATTCAAATTAATTTTTGCTTGTTGTTTTAACTGTAGTATTTGAATGTATAACTCTGTTATTATTTCGAGATTGGGACTGAGTTAAACAACTCCTTTATTACGAATAATATAAATTAATTCTCGGAAAGTTTTCTCCCATCTTGCTTTTGTTTCGAATTTTCGATCTATACTATCATCATTCGTGGGAGGTTTATTGTATATTTTCAATAGTGTTTGTACGGAAATACCACATCGACAGCCATCTAGTCACTATTGTGAGACTGGATTGCTGGATTTTATTCAATAATGGATTTTCTCTTCGATTACTTCAAAAACCAATATTGATTTAAGTATAAATGAATACTACACCCTGGATAAATGTAATAGCGGAATAAAAGTAGATATCTCAATTTCCGTAAATTCCTTTGCAACTATTCATTTGACGACCGTCGATATAAAACCGTTCCAAGCGTTTGAGCAATATTACCCCGAGACACCAAACGTTGATTACTTGCTTAATACTCTGCGAAATGGATCAATACTATTGGTTTTGTTTGAATTATTTTTAGTATTCTTTGACCATATCAAGATTTTATATATCGGTCTTAACAAAACTTAATTATGGCTTTTTTATCTGTCTGTTTACTAGTTTGAACCTGGCATTGAATCAAATCTCTGCAACTAATATAGTACGAAAGCAAAGCATACAAAATTTTAGCAAGTAGTTTTAATGGTAACATTGCATTAGACATTTTATCAGAAATTAAATAAAAATATATTTGAATTAAATATATAAGTTGTACCGAGTTCTGAAGATTGGTCATTGCATCACTGGAAGATTCATATTTTTTGTATAGATTTATTTAAAACTCACGAAGTTGAATAGTTGAAGTTCCTAATTATTTCGCGTTTCGTAGCATCAAATCTTTGAAATTAATAAAATTAGAAATTAGTTATGACAACATGACATAAGCTTTCTTTTTTTTTATAAAATAGTTTCAATAGTAACATATCATTACCAACACGATTTTTTAAGGGGGTATTCTAGTGTAGAGCGATGAATTTTAGGTCATTTTTAAAGTGTCGTAAAAGAAAGCAATGAATGTTTTTACTATCCATTTTTTACCACTTGTGTATTAATATTATTAAAATACAATACAAAAATTAAAAAAAGTTGAAAATTGAAGAAACTGGCGCTGATAAAGTGGGGGGTCACAAAAAATTAGTACCTCAGTCTTGACATGATTTCAGCCGTCCTATACATCCAAAATAAAAGAAATAAAAAGATTATTAATCTACAATGATGTCGCAATCGCCCGAACTAGCGATGACTAAACAAATTTTTTTTTACAAATTGGCGACTGTTTGAAAAAAATGTGTTTTTTTACTGTTCTTCTGAGTTTCTCGATTTTTTTAAAAATAGTAAAAATTGGAATTTGGGCATAATCCTATTTTGGGCTATAGATAGGTCTATAAACAAGACTCTCTAAACATTTCAAGTGAATCGGCCGAGTAGAACTCGAGAAATCGTGTCAACAGTGCTGAAAAAGCCTGTTCTGAGAAAAACGCATTTAAAGTTTTGCGTGAAGCCAAACCAGTATGGAGACCGAGTCAGTAAAATGCCTATATCTCCAAAAATAATTCAAATTTTCAAAAACCTTCTCGTACCCATATTCTTAGATAGTTAAACTTTGAAAATATGAAATAAAAAAATAGATTTTTTTGAATTTCTACACTAGAATACCTCCTTAAGAGATGTTTGCTCAACAAATGCATTGTTTCGAGTTCTGATTAGTAGTCATTATGTTAATAAAAGTTTCATAAATTGGCTTCTTTAAATTTCATATTTGTCATCCAAAATTGTAGTTCTCACACGAACGAACAATACAAACATTTTGATATTATTCTAACTAATTGTCACTATAAGAAAAAGTTCATTACTATCATTCAAAGATAACGAAAACTTTCTTAACACTATTCCTACCGACATTTCATGTTTGCTATTCCTACCGCGACCGGTCAAATGACCGGTCATGCAAAATCGGTATTTTTCAGTATTGAATGAAGAGTTAATGCTAGTTTAAGAGTTTATAAATACAAATACAATATATTTCTTTTATTTTATAATGCGAATTCTACATTTTATACTGTTTTATCCAATTTTTCACGATTTTTTTTCTTAGAGTGTATTTTCTGCACACGCATTTTTTACGTTTTTGGCTGATTTTGTTTTCTCTATCATTTTTCTAAAGCATTATCTGGAATAGTTTCTTTTAGGGAATCTGTTTTGTACTTGTACTTAGCTGATTTTTTTCTGAATTCTTGTTGGAACTATACGACAAGTTAATTGGAATAGAAAGTTCCTGCCTTGTACATTGTCTTCTCGTAATTTCTTTATGTAACAACAATGGATTTATCCTGAATACATCCAAAATAATGTAAATTCTTGATGAATTCTCTCTAAAATTCATATTTTACCAAATAATTTCTGACTATTTTATGAATGGCATCTACACCAGTCCCGACGCTAATACCAATAGAATTAACTCCCGTATTAGTGTAATTTTTTCAACATATGTGTATGTAAGTGAAAATTAGAATCTTCTTTCTTATCTTCCAAAATTGTAAATATTATTTGAGTATTGAAGTCTTTGATTTTTCGTTCTGCCAGTATTTATAGCTGTTATATTGCTTCAATTGTATCTGCCATCAGTTTTCTTTTACTAAAAGTTTAGCTATATGTAGGATGGTAAAAACGTTATATATTTTTTATGTCGTACTAGTGATTTTGATAATACGGTTTCATCAGTTATAAATCTTCAAAGAATATCTCAGTTTGCTACGTATACTGGATGGTTACCAAAATTTTACACCCCATTTGTGCGATTTGCAGGGCATAATTATATTTACATCGTATATTGAACAGTTACTAATATTTATACGTTTTCCTAAATACTATTGAACATATGTTGAATGAATTTACACCTTACCTTTATTGAAAATATATGTTTGTCGATAGTAATACGTAGTCTTTTACAACAATTTTGATTGCTGTCAATGTAGTTGAACCAACCTTTGGATTCAAAACAAAACCTATCGATTTATTGTTTAGATTCCTTCGTAAAAATCTGTCTATACATAGACATTGAGAAAATTGAGAAATCCCACTTTTTATACCGTAGAAATGCAATATTTATACTACTTGCCTTATTTGCGCACCGCGCATACAGAATCGAAAAAAATGCATATAAATTTGCAGAAGGCAGTTTTGACCAGTCTAAATTCTTCTGAATTTACATTTTCTTGTAAGTTCCAAAATATTCTTAACAATTACTACAAAAAATCCCATCCGAACATCGTCTTTCGTACTACCGGTCAAATGACCGGTCGCGGTAGGTAAGACAGCATACAATTTTTTTTCCAAAAATAAAAATTGAAAAAACAAATTAACATTGAAAAATGTTTTATACTCACATATTAGGAAAAGTCATAAAGTTTGATGACGATTCAATTACGTTTGATATGAAAAATACTAATCGAAAAATCAAAAACGGTCATTTGACCGGTCCCGGTAGGAATAGTGTTAATTAACGAGTTCTACTTGTTCTAAAGCCTTATTCGTAAAACAAGCCGGTTGTTTTGCGTATTCACAATGTTTACACAAATTGGCTCTTCATTTGCTAGGAAACTGACTTTGTCAGTCGTTATACGAAATATCACTAAAGAAGATTTTTTTACTATATATTCTGCTCTTTAAATTTAAATGATTTTTGTGATTGGTAAAGGTCCGACTTCCCGGGTTCAAATTTAGGTGAACAAAATTTGATTTAAGAAAACTAGACCGAATTTTTTTTCTTCAAAATAGCATTAACAACTATAATATGAACAAAAATGATATTTATCAGCCCGATTCATATAATTACCAAATTTTTCATAACACAATTATTTTTTTATAAATTATTTTTTTTTAAATCCAAAGACCTCGCCAGAATACTGCTTGAACACAACCTTCCAAAAATACTAAAACGCAAACACCAGCCACAATTGAGTTTATAGAGTAATATGCATCCATCACGATATAAGTTTCTATAGTAAGGTGAAAGTAACACAGGTTACTTCCACAAATATCAATTTTCAGCCCTTACATCGATTATCTTAAGCCATTACATTTACTGAATGTCTATACGAACAGTAGTAAATCTTTTATGTATTTTATGTATAATAAAAGAAATTCTTTATGATCCAGTTTTCTATAAAGGTGCTCTATGTAAACATAAACATAAATATATAATATTCTTTAAAACTTACCGAGTTCTTGGAATCTTCCTCAGCAGGAGGTTGCGGCGGCACAAAATGTTTCCGCGGCAATTTAGGAGCTGGTCCTCCCAAAGCCTTGCAAAGCTGCTGCAGATCGTTTCCCGCCGATACCGAGCGACAGTGACCGCTTAAGCCGTCGTAGCGTTTACTTTGCTCTGTGGTCTGTAAAATAGAAAATAAAATTTAGTTTTTCACATTTTATGTCTTTTCTGATGTAAAATCAAGACTTTAATTTTGTAAAGTAATTTCTTTTATCTTGTTAGACGGTTTAATAAAAATAATCATATGTTGGGTTTATAATGTTCAGAACTTGATAAATTCATTGTAATCTTGGAGTAATTACAATGTTCATAATTTCAGTAAAATTGCATTTTTATGAAACGTTTCTTTGATCCCAACAGTATTTGATAAGATCTACTTTTTGCATCGAACTTGACTCTAAATAATAATTAAATATTTTGAGAGTTGATATGACCAATATAAACAATCCGCTTTTTCAATATCAATCATCTTTCTCTCATTATCAATAAAAATGTAAAATTAGGAATTATACTTCCCATAAACTAAAAACTAAAATTACAAACAGTTCTGTTTAACTTATGACTATAAATTTTGAAGCAAAGACCGATACAGAACAATAATTTATGAACGACAATCATACACACAGCACGTAATGCGGATGTCGTCCTTGGACGACACTCGTATAACATAGGTAGTCGAGTACATGTTGTTCATGAACGACATTCATAGCGAATCAATGTATGAAAAAAAATCCTGACAGAATTTTATAAAAAATCACTGTGATCTTTTAAAACTTATAACACAAATTGAATTGCTTATTGGAATTGTCCTATATAATGCCACAAACATGTGAGAAATTTTTAAACAATCCCATATAAATAAAATAGTATTTGTAGACGAAAAAATCTATTGTATTGCTATTCAATTGAATAAGAAAACATAAAAATATCGTATAGAAAATAAGTTTGTAAAACGAGAGGATTTAGTTGCACATATTTACTGATGTTCTAAATGTGAAAACAGCAATGCAAAAGAAAGTTTAGTAAGATTTTTCAAACCAATTTGAGGATAGTAATAATATAATTTAAGAGTTGATATAGCAATTATTCAGCATTTTTTTTCATATAATTCTTATTTAAGCCAATAAAAATAAATCGATTTGTATGAAAAAAAAGCTATCACAACGCACCAATGTCACTGTTCGCAAAAAATCAATCCAATGAATATAAAAATTGATTGACGCAGATAGAGACTAATTCATCAAATTTAACTATTCATGAAGACTGTTGATCAACCTATTCAATCATTATTAGTTCACAAAAATGTAATAAATTTTGAAATTATTCAATTTAAATAAAATAATATTTGCAGCCAGTAAAAAATATTAAATGATCATTGTATCGCTAATTGTAAAAGATGAAAATATATTAAAGTAAAAATAAATAAAATAGGTGTTCATTAGAATTTTATTTATTGTTATAATATATAACGTTTTATGAAATGCCAATAATAATTGAAAACGTAAACCTATATGCATAATTGTTTCAGTTTATAAAGCTGTTATTTTTTTATTTGTAGTTATAAAATAGTGTTACACAATCTCATCTTTTGTGATGTCAACATGAATTTTTAATAGTATATACACTATGTATATACATTGTCTAATTAGTATATACATTATCTTATTTTATATATTTTGTATTACAAAAAATATGACTTCTACGAGAATCAATTTTAATAAAAAATCAAAATGTTTGCATGTTTTTACGTTTCAAAGGTTTCTGAGCGTTTTGGCATACCTTAAAAAAATGTATATGTATGTGTGTGCAGACACTTTTGAGAGCATGGATCAACCGATTTGAATGATTCAAAAAACATTTTATTTCTAGTGATGAGAAGACGTGCCGATTAGTCTTGGGCAAAGACAGGTCCAGCCGTTTCAAAGATGCGAGGCAAAAAGTGCCAAAAATAGCGATTCAGTTTTTGAGCGAACGGAGTGTCCAATTTGTATGATTCAAAAAACATTTTACTTGTATTGATGTAATGCAGAATTGACTAAATTTGTGAAGAAGCCGATAAGTAAATTTCAGATATTCAAAATTTTCAAAAATATTCAAAACCATTTTTATTAACTATTGGTAAGTTTTTATTGATTAATTATTTTTATATTTCAAATGTTTGAATACGGTACAGAAGGGTCAAGCAATTTGCCTCAAGGCACAATGCCATGCACCACTAGTTATATTTTAGCAGTATTATGAGACTGGTTCGTCTGGTTTGAACGTTACAAACCTTTTTTAAAAGAAAAATAATTACTCACAATAAAAGAAAAATTATCTTTACAATTACTATCAACGTAAAAATTCAAGTATAAATCCTTACACTCCGTAAGTATAAATCCATACAATCCAGAACAGTGTTGTAAAGTCATACACACAAAAAAAATACAACTAGACTATAAACAATATATCTCGAAATCCTCTAGTTTATTATAGAAGAGTAATCTTGAAGACATTACGAAACACATATCAATTTAGTGATTCAGATAATACCCGTTGATGAGTATAACTTTAGTAAAGTTTTTCGTAAAGTGATACCATCCATCAATCACTGTTGCGGGAGTCTTACGACCGTCATGGAACTGACGTAATATTTCTAGTGATACTTATGAACGAGAAAAATAAACTCATCGTCAGACAAGATGAGGAAACTAACATTTTTATATTCGACGAAATAATGTCATAATGGGGAAAAATAGATAATAAATACGTTAAATAATATTTTCATATATAAATATATATATATATATATATATATATATATATATATGTGTGTGTGTGTTAAAAGTGTTTAAATTTGATGTTGAAATGTATGATTAATTTCTTGGAGAGCGTATCATCAAGTAAAAAATATAAATAAAGTAAAGATTTTTGAAAACATCTTTATTTTTCCATACGTTTCGATATAAAATTCTACGTCATCGTCAGTGGTTTTACAATTTTGAGAAAAAAAAACAGAAAGTAACGTTAAAAACTGAATATACACAGAGCAAGAATAAAAAGAAAGGGAATTAACTTTGAACTTAAATAAAAGTTTTAAGCTCACATGACACCTTCAATAACCTTCAGTTCATATTTATAATCAAATCACCGATTATCAAATCACCGATTATCGTGTGATTTGGTAAAAAAAAACTGATTTTCCAGCGGCGTTTCCAGTTGATTGAGGACTTTTCCATTTCCTCGTTAACAATATCTTATTTGACGAAATAGATTTTGTGATTTATAGGACAGTTCTAGTTTACGATCCCAAGAATTGAGTGCGTCGAGAAAATTGAAATAAAGGGAAGAAATAGTTTATTGATTTAGCTTTCTGTGTTTATTTTGAAATTGAATTCGGAAATACATACTTTATTAAAATAACTGGTGGTGCATTGCATCGTGCCTTAAGGAAAATTGATAGAACTTCTGGTACCAAAATTTGGAATTTTTAAAATCTTTAAAATTTTGAAAATTTGGAATTATTTTTTGGAAGTTTTGAATTTTGAACTGTAAACAAAATTTGTACTTATTATTAAAATCTTTATTCAACATTTGATAATGTGGTGTACATATGTCTAATGATCATTTTTCAACGCAAAATAGCATTTTCTTTGAATCTCCTAAACCGCTAGAGACGCCTTTTCAAAAAAATTCCCATACTTCATTTCGTCAACACAAATGAAGTGTCTTAAAAATCACAAAGTAGTAACAGCCATTTTTGCCATTTTTTGTCCCATGTTTTCTGAACGCTGGACTTGCCAAAAACTAATCAGCATGTCTTCCCATTAATATAAATCAAATGTTTTTTGAATCATTCAAATCGGTTGATCCGTGCTTTAGAAATTGTCGACTACAAATTGTAGCCAAACATACATATATACATACTACATACATACACACATACCATTCAATATTTTCTAAGGTTATGCCGAAATGTTCAGGTGATCGTGAAACAATAAAATAAAATAAGAAATACAATAAAATTCTGCTTGAAGACTAAAACGAATGAAGGACAAAATATTAAAAAAAATATTCTGAAATTTCAATAAGAAATTAAACAATCTTTGTTTTTGTTTTTCTGAAGAATTTGTTTTGCTATTTCAATAGATGACTGTTTAGAAAGTAATTTTAGTTATTACTTCTTGTGACAAATTTTGAATATATATAATACACCCAAAAGAAAATCGATATTAAATTTTCAGATAATTTCAAGTAAAAATTTATATTACTGCTTGATATCGTGCTAGCCATGGAAATCATCGAAACTAGCAGTATCTCAACCAAGAAGTTCTTACATGATGTAATGACAAAATCAGAAAATATTAGTAAAGCTTAATTAGCACATAGTTTTAACACTAAATCAAAAAGTAATTTTTAAAACATTTTTCTACGAGTAAAATATTTTTATTATATAGTTTGCATTAGGTCGAATTAATTTTTTTTTACTTTGATTTTGACTTTATTATACTAATGTTATTTTTAATCTAAGTATGAAACCATAAGTGTAATCACAAAGCTCTTGCTTCAATTTACAATAATTCCTCATGGCAAAACATAAATCTCACAACACTAAAATAGAATTGCTTAAAACATTGTAAAGAAAAGTTTTTCCCATCCAAAGAATATGTTACGAGATACTATATCTAGTTTTCAAAAAGTTTTATATGGTATCCTAAAATAGACACTGCATTTCAAAGATAGTTACACTGCAAAATTGGGTTTTATTATTCTGACACTTCTTAAAAATTTAATGTTTAAGGAAAGGTCTAACTTTGAATTTATGGAAATCTGGAATATTGAAATTAACCATCCCATAAATTTCTGTAACAACAAGAAAATGTAACCAATTGTTACATGTACAATTTTATGGTATAACAATTAGTACAAAGCGTAATTGATATGAATATAGTTAGGGACCGATTCTGCAGCATAACAGACCAATGTTATGGCAAGGTTATGTTATGAAGAAGCTTCCATTCGTTCTAAATATTATCAAGAGCCATACGGTTGCCATGCACTCAGGCAATTTTCTCAGGTTGTCAGATAAAAAACCTAACCTAAAAACCGCACAAATGTCAAAAAAATGATCTTGGATAACAG